CGACTCCTTGGCCTGCTGTGCCGCATCCTCGCAGCGTCGAGAGGTGCTCAGGGGCCTACCGTGCGGGGTTTTCTGCTATTACTATCACTATTACCATGACTATTTATTGCTTTCACCATGACTATTGATATATTACTGATACCATTTTCATAGCTAATTCTACTACGAGTACTATGATTCCTGGTATTGCTAATACGGCCCAGAAAAACTTGACTTCCTACTTACCGTACGTAAGGGTTTGCATCCACCGACGAGGCTACCTACTCAGCTACCATGTACTTGGAGGTTCATGGGTAGTTATAAGTGGGTTATAAGTCCCCTGATATGGGTTATAAGTATAGTTACCCTACTTATATCCCCATTTATAACTAGCCATGAACCTCCAAGTAGACTACTCAAGCACAAGGGCTTAGGCTGAGGGGCTCCGATACTGTAGTTCTGGAATTCGAAGGAAGCTGGAAGTTTTCGGATATTAGGGGTACCTTATTTTGGGGTCCTTATAATAAGAAGCCTACTATTCAGGGCACTATATTAGGGCTCCCCTGTCTTCGGAAACTCCCAGCTTCTTGTCAAGATGCCGACCTGCAACGCTGACCGTTGGAGTCTGCGATTTGTACTACCCAAAGGCCCCAAAGTAGTTCCTTTTTGGGGTTCATATATAGAATCCTATAAAATAATCTCAAAAAGGAACTACAACGGGGCCTCTGGGTAGAAGCACTAATTAGAAGCCTCAGCACGAAACCTTGATACCGAAACACTCAGCACCATAATATAGGGACCTGCCGTACTGGAATGGGGATTTGGGTGTACTATATCGCAAAAAGGAGCCCCAACATGGTATTAGTACTCAATCTTCTCATCATTAAACCCCTACTTGAAGGCTCATGGGACTTAGATGGACTTAGTAAGTAAGGTTATAAGTAGGTTATAACTAGGGTAACCCCAGTTGGGGGACTTATAACCCCAATTATAACCTGCTTACTAAGTCCCATGATCCTCTAAGTAGCCTATATTAATATTATAAAGGCCCAAAGTCGGGGTGTATGGGTTCAACCCCTGCAAGGGGTTAGGTGCCAGACTTCAAGGACGTAAGCGTGACACCGCCGACCCTCCGGACCTGGTTCAGTACGAGACTAGCCGCACCTACACAGTCAACACACCTGGTAATGGCAGCGAAATAAGGAGGGACCGGTAGCATTCACAGAAAAAAGGATCTTCAAACAATGAGGGAGGTACGAGTAAGCCATTTATCATAGTCATACCAATGACAGCATTCAACCAGTGTCTCACCGCAGTTAGCTTAATGGGCTAGCACCCCCTGAACCCTAAACCCCAAACCCTGTAATCCCCTTAACCCCAAGCCCCAAATTCCCCCAAAACCCGAAACTCAAGAGGCCCCTGAACCCTGATCCCCTCAACCCCTAAACCCCGATCCCCCCCAAAACCCTAAACCCGTAAACCCTAAACCCCAAATCAAAACCCTAAACCCTAAACCCTAAACCCCAAATCAAAACCCTAAACCCTAAACCCTAAACCCCAAATCAAAACCCTAAACCCTAAACCCTAAACCCCAAATCAAAACCCTAAACCCTAAACCCTAAACCCTAAAACTGGCCCAAAGGCACCTGGAGGCCCCCTTGCGGTGCATCTACACGCTCGGCGAAGCGCCCGAGAGCCTCATCGGCCAGCACAGGGGACTTGGTTTATGGTGCTTTAGGGCTTCTAAAGGTCTGACACAGGGCTGCTTTAGTGATGTTTAGATTTATCATGGCTTTAGGGGTTTATAGCGTCTTGTCCAGATTTAACTTCTGCTTTGGGTGTCTAAGGTTCTTATGACGCCTCTTGTTGTTCTAGAGCTCTGGTCAGGGCTGTTAAACCGGCGTTCTTCAAGGCTCTCAGAATTAAGTAGAATGGGCTTCTAGGATATATGAGAGTACTAACTCAGGCCCCTGTATTACCTGCTGAAAACGCTGTGGCAGCAGACCCTTTTGATCGAATGAGGGCTTCACCCAGAGGCCGGAGGCCACGAGAACAGCAGATCCTGCATCAGCTGAGGCTCAGGGGCCCTTTTTCAGAGAAGTCTGGTTCGCTTAAGATCGTTGGGCATAAGCGGGGTTGCCCAGGGATCGAAGTGATCCTATACCCAATAACCCAACTTATACGTACTAATTACTAGAAACCTTCAACCCTAAACCCTAAAACCCTAAAACCCTAAACCCCTAAAGCCCTAAAACTGTCGGGCTGGGGTGGCCTAGGCTTGGCAGATCCGGGGGGCCGAACAAGCGTTCGCTTTGCTGAAGGGAGTATGGAGTTTTGGGCCCTTACAGGGCTTTATGACGGGGTCCGAAATAAGGTGACAGGCACCAGGTAGCATGATCCAAAGCTAAGTTGTCCTTTAAGCCCTTTGAAACTTATTTACTGTTATGGTTCTCTACAAAACAATAGGGGAAATTAAAAAAGATCCCAAAGGACAACCCAGAAAGTAGCATGCTAATGCCATCCGTGCCTGTGCCTTCAGATTTGCGGCTGGGTTTCACGGTTCGGGGGTCCGGCTTCAAGGTTGGAGTCTGCATTGAAGCAACATCCGCCTACATAAAAGGAGGCCGTGTCGAGGATTCCATCTTCGAGGTGGTCGGTTTGAGGGTGCGGCTGTGGATTTTGAGCTAGAGGGCTGCGGCTTCAGGGTTGTAGTTTCAGGGCCGTGCTGATCTGGGTCTTGAAAGTCCTTACACTGAGGAAAATTTGCTACCTACATCGTGGATCTCAAGCATATCCAAAATGACGTTCATCGCGGTTCCGGCTATTGCTTCGCATGACCCGACCCATGACGGTGCAGCTGCGGCTGTTGCCATATCTTCAACTTCTTTGAAATGGTTGCTACTATCAGGTTGGAGGTTGAGGGTTTGCGGTTTGGGGTTTTGCGGTTAAGGGGTGCTTGTTGGGTTTTTCCATTTCCGGGCGGGTTTACGGTTTAGGGATTTGGGTCGGGTTTAGGCAGCACAGGCATTGACAAATCCCTAGGCCCTACGGCGAAACGCAGCGACACGACTGGCCGACACAGTCGGACAAGGTGGAATCAATACCTACAGACTCTGGGCGATCTGGTCATCGAGTTCTCTGTTCGAACTCCATCGAGCACTCCTTTTGGCAGGCCCGACTGCCTCGACTTGGAGCAGTAAAACTGAGCGGCAGGCGCGCAACTCCTCACCGTGGCCTGTCAGACGAGCTAGCACTCGGGCGGTGGAGCCGACATTGGCAGTGGTCTTGCATGGGCCGACCTCTCCTCTACGTAGGAGTAGCTGTGCAACAGCATCACCCTGTGCAGAAACATGCATCAAGGCAGTGGAACCGGCATCACTTGCTAGCATCACGTTTGTGCGAGCATCAGTGCAGTGAACAAGCAAGGTCACGTCGACACTGGAGTTTCGCAGCAGACGCGCGACATCAACTTCGCCTGCCCAGGAAGCGCACATTGGGGCAGTGCGGCCGATGTTGCTTGCGAAGTTCACACTGACACCGAACTGCAAGAGATGCACGAGACCTTTGCCCCGTGGCAGAGGCATGCATCAGGAATGTGAGTTACTTGGCAGTGTTGGCGAAGTGTATGCTTTGTTAAAGCGTTGAGGAACTGACCCAGTATATCTCAACGTGGCCTCACGCAGCGGATGTCCTGGCAGAGACGTCCACACCGGCGTCCAGGAGCAAATGCACAACCTTGACGTGGCCTTTTTCAGCGGCAATCGTCAAAGCAGTGCAGCCGGCTTTGGTGGCCGCACCCTTGTCTGCACCGGCATCCAGGAGCAAACGCACGACCTTGTCGTGGCCTTTTTCAGCAGCGAAGGTCAGGGCAGTGAATCCGCCCTTGGTGGCTGCGTCCTTGTCTGCATCGGCATCCAGGAGCAAACGCACGACCTTGTCGTGGCCTTTTCCAGCAGCGAAGGTCAGGGCAGTGAATCCGCCCTTGGTGGCTGCATCTTTGTCTGCACGGGCTTCCAGCAGCACATGCACAACCTTAATGTGGCCTTTTTCCGAGGCAAGCGTGAGGGCAGTGGAACCGGCGTCGGTAATCGCGTCCTTGTCCGCACCGGCATCTAGAAGTAACTGCACCACAATAAGGTGGCCTTTTTCAGCGGCGATCGTCAAGGCAGTGAAGCCGCCCTTGGTGGCTGCGTCCTTGTCTGCACCGGCATCCAGGAGCAAATGCACAACCTCAACATAGCCTTTTCCAGCAGCGAACGTCAAGGCAGTGAAGCCGCCCCCTGTGGCTGCGTCCTTGTCTGCACCGGCATCCAGGAGCAAACGCACAACCTTGGCCAGGCCTCTTTCAGCGGCGGTCGTCAGGGCAGTGAAGCCGTCCCTGGTGGCTGCGTCCTTGTTTGCACAGGCATCCAGGAGCTTACGCACAATCTCAACGTGGCAAGCGAACATCAGGGCCGTGGACCCATCGTTCGTGGTTCTGCTCGTGTTCGCACCGGCATCGAGGAGCAGACACACAATCTCAAACTTGCCGTTTCGTGCAGCGAGCATCAGGGGGGTGAACCCGTCGTTTTTGGCTCTGTCCGTATTGGCACCATTATCGAGGAGCTGACCCACAATCTCGATGTGCCCCTTGCCGGCAGCGAGCAGCAGCGCAGCGGAGCCGTCGTGTCTGGCTTTATTCGTGTCTGCACCAGCATTCAAGAGCAGACCCACAATCTTAACGTGGCCTCGTTCTGCGGCGAATGTCAGGGCAGTGGAGGTGTCTGCACCGCCGCCCAGAAGCCCACGAACAACCTTCACGTGGCCTCTTTCAGCAGCGAACGTCAGGGCGGTGAAGCCGCTCTTGGTGGCTGCATCCTTCTCTGCACCAGCATCAAGGAGTAAATTCACAACATCAAGGTGCCCTCTTTCCGCAGCGACCATCAGGGCTGTGTAACCATCGGCTTTGGCTTTGTTGGTGTTTGCACCAGCTTCGACGAGCCGAGCCACAATCTCCACGTGGCCGCTTCGAGCAGCGAGCATCAGGGGGGTGTAGGTATCCTTGTTGGCTTTATTCGCGTCCGCAGCGGCTTCCAGGAGCAAATGCACAACACCCATATGCCTAGTTCATGGTTGGGATAGGATTGAAAATGTACATGTTTACTCCTTATTATTGTCTCTAAGTACCCATCAAAAAAGTGTAACAATGTTACCCAACCATGACAAAGATGCGCGCAGGCTGTCGCCAGACCCAGCGGACTGCTGCCGCTCGTGTTGTCCACGTTTGGGTCCTGGGGCTTCTGCAGCTTGGCCTCGACCTGCGGGTATTTTTTTAAAGTGCAATGGCTTCTTCGGGTAATTTAGGGTTTAGGGTTTGGGGTTTAGGGGGTTCATTCATGGGTGTAGGTTGCGTAAGTACTGTAGGGGCCTTCATGATTGCAATAAAGTTTTCGGGGCCCATTATACTGTAATTAAAACAAGGAGCCCCCAAAATAATATAGGTAATTTCTAAGGCCTCAATATTATAGGGTTCAACAAATGGACGGATGCGAGAGGCCGACCTGGGGCAATGAGCCCTTCGCTGCGGCAGCCGCCAACTCGTTTGCTTCCAGCTGCGATGCCTGGACATAGGGAATAAGAATCAGCTGAAGGTCCATGGGCGAGTCCAGCTTGACGAGATCATCCAACACACCATCCGAGACAGAATCGAGATAAACCAATCTTTGCCTGAATGGCGGAGGCAGCCTGTGCTTGCTGTGTAGTAGTTGCTTCAGTGCCCTCACATCATCTACCTCCTCTGCAGGGATGCTTGCAAGCTGCTTACCTGTCATCGCCGACCAGATGCACAACATTGCTCCGGACGCGTGGCCAGCGCGCGGGACGCCAGAAGAGGAAACGCTGCAGTGAAGAGACATCTTAACCCGAAGACCTAAACCTGAAACCTAAACCCTAAAAACCTACACTTTGTCTATTTCATTACTGATGCTTCGTTCATCTACTCCACGCCAAGCAAGAGACGGGGGGTCCCAGTCCCAGGTTTAAGAAGCATCCAGCACGATCTTTCAACTCGAATCCTTGAAGCCAGAAAGCCAAACCCATTGCAGGCATAATTCAGGTTCAGCTTAGTGTCCGGAGCTTTCGGACTAACGTCGAACCGACATGGAGATGCTGCCACCTCTTTGTCCTGCGAACGAAGACAAGGAGTTCAAGCTAAAGCTCTGGGGGTGAGAGCCTCGCTACTCTGCTGCCAGCGGTTCTGTCTGCTGATTGCCCATGAAAGAAACTTGGTTTAGTTGTACCAAGCCCTACTATAGTAGCTACAACGAGTAGCTCATATAAAGCATGGAATCCGGATACCCTAAACCCTAAACCCCTGAATCCCTAAACCCTAAAACCCTAAATCCCTAAACCCCACTTCCACACCCCAGAAGCCGGCTGCCTTTGTGCTGCGCCATGGCCCGAAGGATGCGATTCAGTGCGACGCGCGAAGCCCCACCTGGGCTTCCAGGGCTTTTAAGCTCGGATTCCATACCCTACTGTGTTTAGGGTTTAGGGTTTAGGGTTTAAGGGTTTAAGGGTTTAAGGGTTTAGGGTTTAGGGTTACTAAACTTACCCTCTACCCTAAACACTAAACCCAAACCCTACACACTCAAGCCTAAGCCCTAAACCCTGAAACCCAAACCCCACACAAGCCCTAGACAATCAACCCTCAAGCTTGTGAACAAAGGCTCAAACCTCTAGCCTCACAAAAACTGTGGCTCAAAGCTCGAAACGAAAGCCCTCAAACTTTGAGTTTCGGGTCTCAGGGTTTAGGGTGTTGCTGGTTCAGGGGCTTAGGGTTTAGGGTGTAAGGTAAAAGCCCTACAAGAGCTTCTGAAGCAGGATCTAGTCTGACTTGTCGACATTCACATGCACAAATGGCTGCCTGACCTGACTCTGAGGTCTTCCATTATTTCTGCATCACAGGAGGACGGGGGTGTTGGCAAGTTCGGTCAGTCCTGCGAAAAAACAGAACTTGAAGCCTCTTCCGTAGAGAGGCTGCTTGTCTTGCGACAAGCGACATCTCACAAATTATATACTATACTACAGCCGTAAACTTCAGTCACAGGTTTCAAACCCCGCGTTGATCGCTGCGAGCCAACTCTTAGCTTTCGACCAATCCCATTCCCGTAATCTGAAACGGGGCGGGGGGCCGGCACCCCAATAAACACTTCGAAAATGGCTGTGTTAGCACGGGGTGTTTTATCTCTACTGTTACTTTTGGGGGATCCTGGTCCTGATCCGGATCTTGCTCTTCCTCCTGTGCTGGCTAGTGCTCCCGCTCCTGCTGTGTCTCTTTCTCTTGCTCCTCTTGCTCCTGCTCCACTTGCCCTTGCTCCTGTTGCTCCTCCTGCTTTTGTTGTTGCTCCTCATGCTCTTACTCTTGCTTGTGCTTCTCCTGTGTTGTTTTCGTTCCTGCCCCTGCTCTTGCTCCGGCTCCTGCTCTTGCTCTTACTTCTGCTCTGGCTCCTGCTTTCCGACAAGTGGTTTTATTGTGAGGGTGGTGTGAAGCAATTACTTCCTCAAGAACTTCTAGAGACTCTCTAATTCGGAACCCTAGGCCCTATAAACCCTACAATACCGGACAATAGCTCTAAAATCTAATCTACACTCTCCAAGAAACAGCTCCATAACAGCCTGGGCTCCTGACGCCAAGCGACGCCACCGTAGCCGGCTAAGTGGCCAAGGCCTGGCGTGTCTTCTGCTCGAGCGGCGTGAGTTTCGACAAGTGTGATGATGATGATGATGATTCCATTTTGATGTTGATGTTGACATTCACGATGATGGTGATGATGACGATGATGATGATGAAAATCATGATAACGGCGGTGACGGTGATGATAACGAAGATCTTGGTGAAAAGGGGGCTTAAGAGTACGACAGCCAGCGCTGGGCTTGACTCTGCCATATTCTCTGACTTGAGATCTCTGCTGTCCTCACAATAACACCCGTTGCACCCAATCCACTTGCCACTACCACCACCCAATCCATCTTGAGACTTCGTTTAAGGCTTCGAGGTTGGAGGCTTCGACGGTCACGGGTTGCGAATACAAGGCTTTCAGGCACTCCAGCTCCAGATCTTCACGCCTACGCAAAATTTGGAGTCGTGTATCGGGAGGTAGGAGCAAGCAGGAGAACAGCAGTTATGTGTTTTGACAGATATCCTGCATGTGTCGACGGATATGGCGTGCATTTCGGGTTTTCGGATTCCAAGAGAGATGAGACGTACTCACTAGCTGCCCAGGCAGAGAGAGAGAGAGAGAGAGAGAGAGGGAGAGAGAGAGAGAGAGAGAGATGTACTGACTAGCTGCCCATGCCGAGAACAGCTTCACATCCCAACTCCCTGGATCGCGCTCGAGTAAAGCGATGCAACGCCGCGGCAAGGGCAAAGCTATCACCACGACAGACTTTAACAACCCTACTGCAACCCCTTAACTGTCAAAAAACCCTTTCAGGCCCAGAATAAGCAGAACTGAGAATCGGCGCCTCAGCAACTAGATAAGGCTTTCGTCTGTATCATATAGTGCCACTATGCAGGGACGTACAAGGGAAGTTTATTCCATTCTTTCAGACCCCGATACTAACTAATGAAATTATCCCTGAAGCCATGGAGCTCTAACAATAGAGGCGTCCAAGGGTGGGATTAAGGTTTGTAGGATTAAGGATCCCTTACATAAGGACTCTTATCTTGGGATTGCCCCACCTACCTTCATCCCATCCGGAGAGCCCTTTGAGTAACAGTGCCAGCAGCTCTGCAGATGGCGTTGCGCTGGGCCTGGGCTTTCACGATGTAGGGCTGAGGGCTCAGTGTTACGGGTCTACTTGGAGGTTCATGGGCAGCTATAAGTGGGATTATAAGTCCCCTAATATGGGTTATAAGTATAGTTACCCGACTTATAACCCCACTTATAACTAGCCATGAACCTCTAAGTAGGGTTTAGGACTTGAGGGACCTTAGGGTGGAGGGCTGAGGTCTTAGTATAAGGGCCTTAGTAATTAGAAGAGAGTTTTGGGGCCAATTACACTATAATTGCAATAAGGAGCCCCCCAAAAAACTAGTTAGGTAATGATTAAGGCCCCTATATTAGGCTTTAAGGTGTCGGCCGACAAGGATCCTATAAGGCATCTCGAGCCTTCCTCGAAAGTGGGAAACTGTCTGCGTGATTCCTGCCAGGATTTGTTTAGGGCTTGGGGTCTAAGGTTCTGAGATGTGTTGCCTGCATGTCTCCGCAGTGCACTACAAGTCTACACGCTGCCCCCTGTCCCCCACCCTCTCTCGAAAACTTCCTCCGAAAATGCAAGCCCCCCCCCCACTCCTGCTCACTATGAAAGGCAGCAACATTCGGTAGCTGAGGCCAGGCAATATGGGCAACTGCACCTTCCGAGTTCGGTAACTATCACCTTTTCGGTCGGACTTGGAACAGAATCAGTGTCCACCGGTCAGCGTCTGTGCTTAGGGCGTAAAACGTATTGTGGGTTTAGGGTTTAGGGTTTGGGGGGTTAGCGGGCTGGGAATCAGGGGTTTCGGGGTAAGGGTTGCAATTTGGGGTCAAGGCACCCCAAACGTAAACCGGGGCCGTGCAACAAGTCGCCCAGGGTCACAGGAAGAAAGCTGAGCCTCTGACTGTTTCGTCTGCAGTAGCAGAATCCATCAAGGATCCGATGGCTGCGGCCTAGGACGGTTGGATTCACGGAAGAAACGGTGTGAAAGGGTTACAGGCAGATGCAATTCCTTATAACCTCAATCCCCTCAACCCTGAGGCCTTAGCCTTATGCATGATTTAGCTTTCAGAGGCCTGATGTTTTGTGGGCTTGTGGTTTAGTTTACAGCTCAGGGATGGGTTGATCGCGGAAGCTTTCTCGGTCGGCATGTGGCAACATGCAACTTGCACAAGCACTAGGTTATCCAGCTGAGGCAGCAACGGAGCGTGGAATTGCAAAGCCTGCAAATTTAGGGATGGCACTCAACCCCAAACGCTTAAGCTTACTTGGAGCTTCGCAGGTAGTGATAAGTGGGGCTACAAGTCCCCAAATATGGGTTATAACTCTAGTTACCGTAGTAGCTACCCACTTGTAACTCCCCAACTCGCTTCCTACCAGAGGCACTTCGACCGTCTCATCTCCGCCACGGGTTGTCCGGGCTTCATGGTGTGGCGGCTTTGCAGGTTAAGGCTTTCGGCTTTAGGTGGGTAAGGATCTTAAGTCTAGGCTTGGGGGGTGCAGAGGTTTAGGGGTTATGAGTGCTTGGAGGCTTAGGGCTTAGGTTCGAAGGTGGAGCGTCTTTCTGGATTAGGGCTAGGAGCAAGACAAACTCTCGGTCTCCGGACGATGCATCCCCAAACCACTGGGTATGGACCTTTTGACATCCCGTGCAGAACCCTAAGCCCTGCTTTCTTCTTCTGATCGTGATTAATTCGTCTGGTGCTACGAGCGCTACAACGAAAGTCAATCACGGCGATTAATGTTATTGTTCTGACTGTGGAACAAGCGAGGCCCTCGCTGAGCAGCGCATCGGCGGCACGGTGGACGGCGGAGTCTTCGGGGAACGCGCGCTTGGCGAGCTGTGCGGCCTGAGGAAGAGCCGCGGCGCTTGGGGGCTTTTGGTGCTTAGGGTTGAGTGGCTTTAATGGCCTATAGGGTTTCAGGCCGTGCGGCCCTCGGGAAAGGGCGAAGGGCCTTGCGGGGTTCTTAAAGGTCTTGGGAGGAGTTTGCGGCTCGGGAGATCTTAGTAGGTGCTGTGGGCTTGGGGTCAAAAGGCGCTGTGTTCACTGGTTTTGGTAGGTTTGCTGAACCTGAACACATAGCGTCGGAA